TATTTCTTTTAGCATTGGATGTGCGCATCTCTGCCAACGGTTGAAAAATTCGGAAAAGTACTGCCTCTTTGAAGGAAAATAACGAATTAACTGATGCTCAAACGCATGTAGGACAAAAAATAAACGGCTGGCCTCTCAAAGGTCTGGCCAACCGTTTGTTAACTACTCTCACGACACTCAAGCTTGGGCTAAAGATAGACATGTGGGGCTATATCAAGCAGCGTGAGTCTATCCGTCCTCTGTTTCTCTACTTTAGGAGCCGTATTCCAAGGTTTGGGGTCCATTTTTGTTGCTGTTTATGTTCTAGAGTGGCCTAGTGATATACTGACAATTTTTAGATAGTGCAATCGTCGCAAGCCGGGCTTGAGATGGTTAATAAGTAGTCCCAGTGCTTGTGAAGTTGGGTAGAAAAGACTTTCGATACAAAGGGTTTAGATGACTCTTGAGATAGCATTGTTGAGAGGACTCATTTCGTATGAAAATGCAAGATGTACAGTCCTCAGCACAAACACACACACACACACACACTTAAGAATAAGTATGAAAGAGAATTATATATATATATATATATATATATTTCAGTTTTTTGTGGTGAGTATATATCAACATGTAGGATAGAGCCGAACAGGCTTCTTGACTTATTCTCGAGCACCTACCTATAAACTTGAAACGTTTGCAAAAATGGGTTCAAGCTCTGCCAATGTCCATCATTTGCCATGGCAGACGAAAACTAGGTTAATTTCACCCGAAATGAGGGAGGATGTCTCGTAGACAGTGTAAATCCGACATCATGCCAAAGGCAGACGGCTGCGGAACAACTCAAATCAGCCGCCGTTTTCCTGTGAGATCAATTAACAAATCACCTTTCAATGTACTTAAATGCGAAATGAAAGTCTCCACAAAAACAGGTTGATTACGCTCTTAAAGCAAAAGTGACAGTCATACAAAATACTATTAAAGATATCATATATCGGATATAGCAGGAAAAGAAATAAATTGGTAGAGGTAATTTTAGTGCTTGTATTGTAAGTCAAAGAGGCTCCAGGAATCAAAATAGGATTCTTACTTAAATATCGTTTTGGTAAATGAGCTTTTAGTCTTCATCGCTTGTCCTATTCAATCCTTCGTTACATAATTAAACCGAATTCCTTCTAAACTACTAAATTGTTGGTCTTCGGTTCTACTATCTGTAGATTCCAAATGTAGCAGCAATTTTTCATAAACTTCACTGGAATCGTTCCATAAAGCATGAAAACGTTATTAGTGCAGGTAATTTCTGGCAATCTGCACTGAGGCAGATGTTTTGGACTAAGTTAAGACGTAACTCGTGACTGGTTAGAAATTCAATAAAATTTATTGTTTAACTTAGTACTAATGTCAAGAAGATAACTAGGTCCAGAGACCTCGGGTCGCTGAACTCTCATAACTATTCTAGGGGAAAGTTCTTCCAGTAGACCATTCTTGATGGGTAAGACAAACTCGTCTTGGAAACAAAGCATACTTGTCGCAATTCAATACGCCTCTTGTTCAGTTGATAAATCTGCACAATAACAGGTCAGCACGGGAAGAGTAAAAGACCTGACCTCAAATTAGCCGGCCACGCAAAATGAATGAGAGATTACTCCCATATCAGCCGAATTCAATAAGCCTAAACTACCAAGAGGCAAGAAGAGCTTCAGAATAAGTTCAGATATCATTTGTTGTAACGAAGCTACTGACTTGTGTAAATCTCCACCAATTGATCTTGTCCAGTTGCTTTATTATCACTCGCATTTAATATGGCTGTGCACTCAACTCAAAATTCTTCCGGTTATGGGAAAAATAAATTCTTTGATTTTGTCAAAGAGCACGAATTTCACAGCCCCAGAGCTAAACGGAGACAATAGCTGAAACCATCTAAATATGACGAACTAGAACCTCTCGAAGCAGTATAAGTATCTGATTTGTATAAAGTATGCATTAAACCCTAATCAGAAGAATATACAAATGCAAAGCCAGCCAAACTGATTTTGACGATACCTGGGAAACTCGTATTCTGTAGACAAACGTGGCCTGAATGAATGATCAAATTTACTTTATTTCATCAAAGAAGGGTTAAAGCAAATGCCATTTCGAGTCTTTGGCCGAATTAAGTCCATTAACTATCTATCCAGAGTGAGATCAGGAGATAGAGGCAACATACAAGAAGTTGTTATCAAACTAGCTTCAGTGAGACTTTTCCATGGCTTTTCCTGGAGATTTTACAAAAAGAAGATTTTAGGTCTGTCTGGGTGTGTTGAGATGGATTCGAACTCTAATCTGTATGGGTTTTTAGCTACAGAGCTCCAATTCTCTTGCGGTTTTCCCGATAATATGACGCTATCATTGCATCGTCAAGAGAAAAGAAGCAGAATTAGCTATGATATAAGAGGAAAATTATTCTATATTCCTTGTAATGCTTTATAGACCAAGGCCTTCTTAGATACAATGGTTACTGTCGAAATGGAATAGCCTCAAGGAAGCTTCAGCTTGCAGGGACAGCAATATCTGAACTGAAATTGTCGCTTAAGATGCAATCGACAGCTCAAATATAAATTAGCTAATGAACGAATGAGATTATTTTGGGCTCACAAACTATATTCGAAGACAATTCCTTGAAGATATTCTCGTTTCTTCTCTACTATTTCGGTTAGTCGGATTTTCTGCCCGATGCTAGAAGACCCACTGAATATTCTTATCAACCCTCTTCAAGGAGTACTTAAACAATTGGCTTGACAAAACAGTATCAGCTGCAAGGATGGCTGACTCAACATAGGATTAGTGCAATTTAAGAATGTATGTGACAGGCCACCGATATGCATAGCAGGCATGCACATAAGTGACACAACCTGTATCCTCTTTTTTGCAAGGAGCTCTGACGCACTAGTGTCTATCCTGTGCAAACAGTCATGTGTGTGTATGATTTTCACATCTTGAGGTATCAAAATCTTGGACAATCCCTCTTGAAGTGATGCATTAAGCAATCTGTGTACGCAAATATTTCCGTTTGCATAAGTATGAGTGTCTGTATTAGAGATTAAGTACATGTAAAAAAGTGTGTTAATGCTGAGGTGGAATGTCGAGATTCCATATATACTAATGTTTAATCAAGATAAGAAATTCTTAATTCAATTTTGATGTTTACGGTATTTCATTGATGCTGACAGATTTCTAGTAAAGACTTAAAGTGGATAGAAAACAAAGGCAATTACTGTAGTGAGGCCCGAAATAGTTGCGAAAAAATCCCGAAATAAGTTTAAAATTCGTTTGAATAAGACTTAGAATACGTCAGAAGTGAGTCCGAAAATGGCTCGAAAAAGGTACGCAATAATTAAGGAGCTAAGAAATATACTACTAATACGGCTAAAATAAGTCAAAAATATAATTCAACTTGCATAGATCAGAAATGGGCCTGAGCTTGGCTCAAAGGATAATAAACTTTGAGCTGAAACTGAAATTAGGAAATGAATTCTAATTGTCTGATTGCCAATTTCTGCATACATTCCAATACGAAAACCTATCTCTCTATATATAGTTATTTATTAATTTTTATATTCATATTAATATGTGTTTTTTAAATGAACTTTACAAGAATCGGTCCAGTGGCAGCTGTAATGAAGTGAAGAGAGTAAAAATAGCAAAGTATTGGCACTACAGGTCCCACAGTGCCCATGTGATAATTCACTTTCCTCTCAGCACGTCCTTGGAGTCATTTGTCCGGCTTTTTAGTTTAACTGCCTTTCTTAATCTATCTCCTAATTTTTTTCTTCAACAATCCAACAACAGGCCAAGCCTAACATTCATGTGCTGCTCAAATTCTTATGACAGAGCAAACAGGCAGGAAACCTCGAAAAGTTTTTTCAAGCCCACGTGGTCTGGGCCCCTCAATGGAAGTGGTTTCAGTGTTGGGGGCTTACAATTGAGGGTCCAGGTTTTTCGTAAGTTAACAGATGGACATTTGGGAGATAAGTAGTCCGGATAAGACTATAATAGGCCAGTTGTACTCGCGTGTGCTTGTGTGTCTGTCAAGGTCTTCTCTCGTGAGCCCGTCTACGCCCCAACAGTTGCGTATACTCCCTCACGAGGTATGCTGAGCATGTCCGCTTGCGTGTTGAGTAGAGAAGGAAGGCAGGACTAATAATGTCAACATGGTGCCAATCAAGTGCTGACCGGTTAATTAGACAGCAGCCATTTTGAAGAGGTGAATATTGAATGTTGCTTTGGCACAAAAGGAGCAGAGTGACAGAGAGAAAGGGCCGGAATAGTTCGTTATTGATGAAACATTGAAACTTTGTCTACCCTAAAAGTTTATGAAGTTGGCCTCCGATGCTGTTTTTGACGCACTTCTGTAGACAAGTCAGTGTACATTTTGTTCGTTTTAGAACACAACTTCAGATATGCTAGAGACAGGATGAATGGCTGCAAAAAGATTACCATTGATGATCAACACCGAAAATGTAAGTGCATGAAGTGATTTCGATAAAAAAGATACTAGAAAGATGTATCCAAAAGTATTTTGAAACACCTTTCTTCATTGTAAACTGTAGAGTCCTTACTATCCAGTTAGAGGTTGAATAACCCCTCCAGTGAAAAAAGTGAGTCCCTGCGGCATAGATAGCAGCTGTGAGACTATTCGTGAAAAAATTTGGAAAATGAATTTGGCCCATATGCTAAACCCTACCTGGTTTATAACAAGTCGTCGAATTCGAATAAACAGCAAAGTGATAGTACTAGCAAACAGTTGGGAGGCAAGCGGTTTACAGGTTTATAGTCGCAGTCAAACAGAAATAGTTATCAAGCACACACGGTAAACAATAACAAAATTCTGTGTCATCCACAGGTAAGGGCTAGAGCCAATGCAAAGAGTCCATAGAAAAAGAAGTCACAGAATTGCCTTGAACGGGCCAAGATGAACATGTGAAAATTTAATGCAGAAAGAAAGGCCATTATCAGCTATTTATCCAGCGTTGGTAAGACAATAATTAAGGAGCTACGAAGTCAGGCTTAGAAAAGTAATTTTTCGATTCCAGACGAGAGAACTCGGAGGAAAAAATCCCAAAGAGTGAAAGGCTAATCAACAACGCAGCAACCAATAAACCTAAACTGGGCAGGATAACGATAAGACTAATTAATAAATATCAGATTGCGTAAGATTCATACAATCTCCAGGTTGGACCATTTCTGTGGACTGAAATCAATGAATGGAAGAATAAACAATACTAACCTCAAACCTGGCCTAAACTCCTCATATTTTACATCAGGCCCGAAATGGCAACACAGTTCCATGTTAGCAAAGTATGCCTCTGTTTAGCAAGCTGCATTGAAACAGCAAAAATCAAGAGACGTTAAGTGCATGGCAAGATGAATCGACGCCTTGAACAGGCTTATAAATATGAAATGAAAGGCTAATTTCAGTTAGAACGCCTGAGGCTCTTTTGAACAATTTGCCTACACACGCACGCACACACCCACAATATATATATATATATATATATATATATATAGGAGCAACTTATATATATAAATATATAAATATATATATGTATATATGTCTGCCCGAGCACAATGGTTAAATGTCCTGACTGGACTACGACGACTGGAGAGAAGAGGGGTCAGGTCTGCCAGTTCAGGCAATCGGGTGTCCCGGCCTAAACCAGACCTGCCGAGAAGGCCTGGACAACCAGGAAGTGTCAAGACCAGGATGGGCGTGGTGAAGGGGTCACTTTGAGCTGCATACAGAGAGGCCGGGTGAAGCAATGAAGCTGACTAAATGAGGATAGATAAACAAAGGGGAAAGTATATGCCGTTGCAAACAAATCACCGTCATATCATCTTGTTTCGAGGATTATTTTTTATAGTTACGTGAGAGTGTCTGAGTGCGGTTACCCAGTTTGGGGATTGTTAAGTCGTTTTTGTGTGTATTGGGACGACTAGCCAAACCTGCATATGTGCATGTCTC